TTTACTGCAAAGCCAAAAGGTGCATGATTTATGAGTCTCCTCAGCTGTCAAAGTGATGGTGGATTGTTTCCAGACTAGAGCTGCAGGACTCAGAGTTAGCCTTAGCATAGCAGCGCCTCAGCAGCCACTTCCTGCAGACTGTGCTATGCGTATCTCACTTCCTGCCTCTCAGAGTCAGCACTCAGCCCTAACTCTGCCTCTACAGCTGTTTCTCTTTACTTCTCTTCACCAGGACTGGGCTCCAGCGAGGGAAACACGTCTGCTTCTCAAAAGATATCCAGGAAAAAGAACTGCTGTTCAAATAGCCAGGAAATATAAAGAAACACATTGCATTTAGCATTTTACCATAACTTTTATCTAATGTAGCCAATAAGAATAAAATGAACCGGTCAGATTTTTCTCAGAGTTTCCTGTATTGACTCCATATAAGTCCATTATTGTGGGAGAGAAAGTAACTGCAGATATTTAACACGTTCACCAGCTGATGTGTTGCAGAAATACAATACAGTCTGACCTAAATGTACTGCCATGGGCTTTTGGGTTTAATGGTTAAAATCTATCAATGATCATATGAATATGCCATATGCCATACGGCCACTGTGGAAGAAAATAGCCAAGGGATATTGCTATGGAAACAAGCAGAAGGCCCTCCTTCATGAAGGATGAGAATGAGTCAAGTTTGTGGTGAAGACCAGCTCACACTAATTACATAAAGACCTACTTATTTCACTGCCATAAAAAATATATCATATCATGAATAAAACATGATTGTATATGAGTTTGTATTGTTTTTTTCCCTACCAACAAAGTTGGATTTTTTCATGTCTTATTCTTTTATTCAATAGGACGAACTCAAACCATTCCATGTTTTGTTCCAGTCTAAGAAAATCAGGAGTTTCATAATAAACCTTACGATGGTACAGTCTTGTTTTTTTCAATATTCAATAGTTTTTTAAGGATTATACAACAGCTGTCAAATGTCAGGTAAATGAAAATGAATGAACTGGGGGAGGCCAACCAGTGTATCCGTGCTGAGTAATGGAATGAAAGAAAGAAACTATAATAATATTAATAATAACCGCAGGTTGCTAGACTCACTGCATCACTGACATGACCACCTGCATGTATTGTTTTTCCTCATGCAAGACTTTACGTTACGTGACGGAATAGTGATTAGGCAATGGCATTCATGAGTTTTAACATCAAATTATGTTATTCTTACACATGAGATTGATGACTTCAGGTCCTTCTGGCCATTTCCACACTCAACCATGACTCATAAAGAAATTGTGAAATGTAAGACGTTCTGGTCATGTCACACCAGAAGTTAGCAACTTCTATTATCAAAATAGACACGTTTCCCCCTCTGCTGCTAAAGAGAAATAGTCAAGAGCTGCATGTATCATACACACTTTTTAATATCTCTAAAAAGCCTTTTGCAACAAATGAACAAATATAAATATCATATAGAGGAAAATTCAGGTGATACTACACGACCGTATGGTCAAAAATGTTTTTATTTTCAAAAAAAAATACAAATGAAGTTGCAGACATCACCTTTATAGCACCGCCGTGGAACAATTTTAACATAAAAGGAATAAAGTATAAAAGCAAAAGAGCCAGTACAACGAGCCTGCCTCCTCCTGGGCATGACGAGCCATACTGCTTATTAAAATAGTTTATGCTTAAAGGTCTACACAACCGTCTATACAAGATGGGAGGGGAGATTGCAAGTGAAGTATCAACCCTAAAGACAAGGACGCATGAACATGTACAGTAGCTCAGTTAGTAGAGGAATGGCCTTTGAGCCTGAAGGTCGTGGGTTCGAGCCCACCACGGGACCTTCTCCACCGACTTCCACTGATGTCTGCTGTCGTTGTGTCCTTGGCAAGACACTTCACCCCCATTGCCTAGAATGAGTCTGGTGTGTGTGTGAATGGTTGTAAGTGGTTGGAGGGGCCGATGGCACATACTGGTTGCATCGCCTCAGTCAACACTGTGTATGGAGTGAAAGAATAATGACAGGTAAAGCGTCTTTGAGTGTCCAAAAAAGCACTATATAAAACCGATGCATTATTATAATATTACCGAGTGTTTTTGATTGTAATTTTTCCAATTGAAAAGATCGACAATAATATACAACATATGGTATTGAAAAAGAAGACATTAATAATAAGGTAAGAAACAGGTTACTGGAATGAATGATCTGTTATAACAAGTATTGAGTTGTGTCTGACAAAGATTTTGTTGTCAAAGGCACAAAGGGGGAAACGTTACAAGATCATTTTCCTCATGCGAGTACAATCGTGTGGCCTTATATCTGGTGGGTTTATGGTTTATCTTGTGGCATGAGATCTGTCTCATCCCAAGAGTTTACAGTGATACACTATCCACCATTTCCTTTGGAGCAAGCTTTGGCAGAGAAACATGAGGACACAGACACCCTTTATCTCATGTGGATTTCATGCTGAAAAGGAGACACAAAATGGACAAAACATAATAAAAAATATGACAGCGTCCTGTCGATATTGCAAGTACACAAGCAGTTACTTCATGCTGCGGTGTCACATGAGCTTCCAACACAGAACAGGAAGTCACCAGAAAATACTTAGGTCTTGAAGGTCTAGAACTTATCGACAAAAAACTAAATTAGCTCATCTTGTGGCACCAAGGAATGTCAAGAACTCAAAGCAGTGATCTAAAACTAGTTCTGTGACAATGCTCAGTTATTAGAAGAATGCATCCAGAGCCTTATCTGCCTTTAGTGTCTCCTGCTACAAAAGAAACAAGCGCATTAAAGACTGAGAAAAATACAGTTCTGAAGAAGACTCTTTACAGCAGGGGGATCCATCACTGCATACAGTTTTCTTATTTGTTTTTTTTTACAGTATACAAAGGGGTAAAGGAAATGGCCTAGATCATATTCTTGATTTTACTTGGACAATAAAGTCTAGACCAGATTATACTAACACTAAAACCGCCATTGCTACTAAAATAGGACACAAATAAACACAAAATATATTGCTTAACCATGTGAGATTGCGTGTGAGATTTGAGAAGCCTGAATGTTCCTATGTGATATTGTTTTACAGGTTATGAAAAGATAGAGTTTCAGTTCCTGTGCATGTTATCCAGATGTGCAGAGACTGGACCATGTTCTCAGAATTGTTTAGACGTGTCCTCATGCGGGGTCCTTATGCGGAGAAATAATCCAAATTACTTCCTGCAAGAAGCCAACATTGAGGCAATAAAATGCAACCCTCGCGTTAGTTACAAACAAGAAATCATGCTTCTGTTTAGCACATAGCACGCGTTACTTGACACAATGTTCATGTTGATGCATAAGAAAGAACAACTTCTGGCACTGGCCCAGTCCTCTGCTCCACACTGCGGCGCTTTTGCATCCAAATAAAGATATCCTTTGACTCCTAGGCCATGACCGCTACAACAACCATCCACTGTGAGAAATTGACAACTTCATCCCAGATGTTATGCTCCTGCTCTTCCCAACTCTAAAGACACATTGTGCAAACCTAATACTAAAAATAACACCCGCTGGAAATGAATTAGAAAATGCGGAGGTCTTACCCTGTGAAACATGCAGCTCTTGATTCTTGATATTCATGAATTGATCGATCGTCAGGATACAGTGGAGCCTGGAAGACTTGTGTGCAGCCAATCGTGAAGTCTGTGCAGAGTCGGAGCAGTGGCAGGGGGCGGGCCGCTAAACGGACTCACCCCGACCGCAGCGTCACATCCCGGGGGCAGAGCCAAGACCAGAGACGGTGGGCTGCTTCCAATGACTGCAGCTGACCAACTAAAAAACACCTTTCTTAAAATAGTTGTGAATCTACTGTATGAACAGTGTAGGTTTAGTGTAATTATTATGATAGTAACATAAAATTAGTTTAACAAAAAAATGACCTCCCTGGATTTCCCCATTCCTCATCACCATTAAAGACAGCTGTTTAAACAAGTCTCAAGGCCAGTGAATGGAACTTTATATAATTTGGCACTACAGTTTGGCAGTCCCCATGTTGATCAAAGAATGTCTCTAGTCTGTGTTGATGTAACTTACTTTATCCAAAGCTGTGGCCCAGGCTTAGGCAGCTGTGATTCTTGAGTCGCCCTTATCCGGTATTAGCAGTGATGCAATGTTTCCAGATGTGGAAGAACTTCAGTTTATATGAGTAAACAAAAAATCTGTTTAAAGAAATGTATTGCCCTTATGTAAATTATATGTAAAGTTTGTAAAGTTAGAATAAACATCATCATGAAAACACACGATTCACTGTATTAAAGTCATTTTATTGATATAATAGGCAATACAGATCTATAAATACAACTCTGTGAATCATTCATCTAATAAGCATGTGTGGCATTACAAAAATAACTATTAACAGATTTGGAAAAGAACAGGCACTTGGAGAGCGCATTCCCCGCCAAGGCCACGGATCGTCAGAAAATGTGCACGAGGTCTTCTTACAGTCACAAACCACAACCCACTCTGATCTCAATCCGTCCAGTAGTTTTCACAGGGGCTGTAACAATTATTTTGACAATTGATCTTCTCATTAATAATAAGTAGTTTAATCAAAGCTACGGTGATTCCTCTGAAAAACAGTTTGAGATAAATGACTTGTTACATGTTGGGTGGTTTATAAGCATATTTTTATTTAATTCTGTGGTCATTATAGAATTATCCGAGTCAATGTAACTCTATTTAGGGTTAAAAAAAATAATTAAACTAGTTCACAACTTTTTGAATAATAGATAAGTTGTGATTATGTGATCAAATTGTTCTAGCCCTGGTCCATATACAATCCTGCCAACATTAACATTAGCCCTTGCATATAACTGCAGAATCCCCATTACATGCAACAGGCGTAACATTATTATGATGGATCCTTGTGTCGTCTTTTGCTTTGACCTGAACTTTCTCTTTAGCACCGATCCTGACAGAAGCCTCACTTTCTTTTCTGTTTAATTTCATAAGGTGCTCAGATGCTGTGTGTGGACAAACACTGGTTGACCACTTCCAAAAGCGAGGAGTTCTCCAACGCTGCTGCCACTCTTTCTTTGTCTGCAAGTTGTTTGTTCACTGTATGAAATCATAAATATGTAAATAAATAAGGTTACATTCTCCTTCTGTTCTTGAAGGCAGTACAGATATAAACTATTTGGGATCTACCTGCTTCTTCTGACGCGTGAGATCCAGGCGTGATGTGGACGTCAATCTGAACACAGAACAAAACATGAATGTGCAGGATTTTGAAAATATTCAGGTTGCTATTGGTAACGAGCACGCACTTTAAATCTGTCTGGTAAGGAGCGCAGCAGCTTGACTTTAATAGACAGACCGATGAGTGTGGCCATACTGCAGTGAGGAATTGTGGGGGTGAATTCGATGCCTACTGTGCTCCCTGGGTCATCCACCTGAGTGAGAAAACAAAAATGAAACATCACTAAGTTGCGGTGCATTGTTACTGTACAAGACTTTGGACTAATCATTTGCATGGGAATTCTCACCTTCACTCGGACTTGTTCCACAACATTGAGTTCCTCCAGAGACAGGGGGTGTTCCGGGTCATTGATGGATCTGATCAAATGTAGCCTTTGATGTTAATGACTAAACCTTCACTTAATGAACCATTAAACATTCCAAGACAGTGTATTATTTGGACTGCAGTTAAACAGTCTAAGGTTTAAGTTGGAAAAGCTTGTTTGAAATATGTTTACAACCTACAATAATCATCATTATACTTTTTTTTTTTTTTTTTTTACGCATTACTTTCAAACCCAAATATTTATATTTCTACCCCTTATATTTAAAATCACTACGTAGCTACTTTGCATAATAATTATACAAATTTCTTCCTGCAAGAGGCCAACATTGAAAAAATAAAATTCAAACATTTTGTTAGTTAAAAACAAGAAATCAGGTTTCTGTTTAGCTCAAAGCATATGTTACTTGACAACTTGTGGCACTGGTCCAGTTCTCTGCTCCACGCTGTGGCGCTTTTACATCCAAATAAAGATATCCTTTGACTAAACCCAAATATCTGTACTGTCCAGTGAGGTCCAGTGAGGATGGTTAGCTGTGCTTCTTTGTTTAAAATAACCATCCAGTTTATGTTCAACACGTTTTGTTTAGTGTTATTATATTCTGTCAGTTTGAAACATCCTACATTGGTGTAATATTGTTTAAAATTAAAACAGCTGCCTCCAATGTTTTTAATAGTTACCTAATGTAACTTAAGTTCTACGAATAGGTGCGTAGTCCCTTAGCGGACTTCGCTAGTGGGTCACGTGATATCCCACTAGCGAAGTCCGCTAAGGGACCTAGCACCATGACGTAGAACTGTTAATTTATGTCTACAAATAAACACACATGACAGTATCAAACATATAACATAACATCACCTGAGGAGAGAGCTCAGAATACATGATCAAACGAATAAACGTGTAATATTATTTTTCCAGCTCTTTCTTCTTCCTTGTGATGTCGGATAAGCCGTAAATACATTATCTATGGTGTAAATATGATACTGCAATAACGACACGTCTCTCTGGCTCAGAAAACTCTACTCGATTCTAATCGACACCATATTTCCAGTATACTTAGGGACAAATCGTTTACAGAAAAATTAGAAAATAAAAAGGATATCAAATATTTCTCTGTCATCTATGGGGTCGTGAACATCTTCGTCCTCCTCAGACGCCGTCAGTAGTCGCTCCCCTGAGCGCTGGAAGACCACAGGGTTCGCGTTTTCTAGTTGGCTTGACATTTGTGCTTTCTAAATCTTAATCAATGCTATAATAAATGCAATGTGTTCTTCGATCTCACGACAACAACATGCACAACAACCAAAGGGGTCGGATGTGCTTTTTCTTCGCGGTTGGTTTCACCTCGAGCATGCGCACTACCGCCCTCTACCGCTCCATCCGCACATTACACTCAACGGGCATGATCATGTGACGCATCAGGGAATACCTTTGCTACGCATAGAATACAATTTACCTGCATATATATGTATTTTGTACCATGTTCTGTTAGACAACTTTGGATTTTTCACAACTTTAAAAATCAATCTATATCCGTGTGATGAGTTGTTTAAAAGTTGTGTTAATGTTTTGTGGCAATATCAACTAATAACAAATGGTAGTTCTATGATAAGTTTTAAGTTACATTTACATGAACCAGTGTAATTACAAATAGATCTTTTTTAATTGATTAAAAAAGATCTGTTCTCGATGGCTGTTCTCGATTTTGACAGCAGATGGCCCCAGTAGCACAGTTCAACCTATAGTTTGTAATGTTCAACCCCTGACATATACAACAGCTATGAATCATTTTCTGCATTTATGTTCTAAAAATTAGGCGTACACCAAATACATAGGCCCATTATTGACATTATTACATATAGCATTTCATGTGGGATACATACAAGCATATAAAGCATCACTTGCACTTTTGTGAGAGAATATAGGAAACAAACAGTGCCTCCTGCTCAGAATGAGAAACTACAGATATTTGTCTTGAAAGGAGCAAAAGTCAATAATTGCTTTCAAAATTCCCAGCACAGTTTTGAGAAGTTTAGTTTCATCTCACCGCCTGACCATTGGGGCCATTTATTTGTGGACCTCTGCTCAGTGAAGCGCGGCAGGACAAGACGAAGAGATGGGGTTTTTTTCAATGGACTTCAGATACTGAGGAGATCGTTTGACTCTTCTGTTGCTCAAATCTCTTGTTGTCTTATATTGACTGATAAACACACAAGAGGCTGTCATGTGGGTGGGAATTTCTATACACAAAATATCACATGGGAGATTGAAAAAGCCTTTTGATGTTTCGACCGCAAAATGTTGCTTTTGCCTTTGCTAAGAATAAACTCAGTATTCCCTGGAGGATGTTATGCTCTGTTTTTATATTGTGTATTTTATTTCTTCATTGTACAGACTCAAAACTCTGGGACTCAGGGAATTATCCTTTAAAGCCGTAGCTGTGCAGCCTTTGAACAGTCACCTGCGGTCAGATCATTCTGTGCACCAAGGGCCATTTGAAGACAGACAGCTTTCAGATAAGACAGCTCTGTTTGCATTTCAAGTCCAAATGCTTCCCGTAGAGTAAAAGTAAAATATGAGTTGCAACTTTGGCTTGTTATGTGTTGGCCTTAAGAGTCCTTTTCACTGTATCTCTCATACAATTACGTAATCGCTGTGTGAAGGAGAGGTTTCGTAGGTCTTACCTTCCTGCTGCTGTCAGCCTGTACAATGAGAACTGCTGAGCCTGTACATTTTATTCATCTCAATAAGTAAATTCTTAAATCATGTGCAATGTGCAATACTGCAACTTTAGAATATCCACTGAACAATGTCACTTTACTTATCTACTTATTATCCTGCACTATATGTACAGTACATAACTCTGCACTACTGTATTTCTTTGACTGGTATTGAAGCATTTTCAGCATCTACAGCTAGTTATGCTAGTTAAGAAACATATACTACTTATTTTGTATATTGTGTGTGCTCCCTGTGTGCTCTTACTACTGTCCTATATGTGCGCTGCAACATAGAAATTTCCCCACAGTGGAACGAATAAAGTACTATCTTATCTCATCTCATCTTACTACTCCAGCTCTTTCTCTCAGTAAGTCAAGTTCAACATCTTCAGCTCAACTATGCCAACTTCTGATGCATATTTAAAACAGTCCGAGATATCTATTATTTTAAGTAATTTGTATCATATTTTGGGTATTGTGATTTTACCTTTCTTGTTTCTTGCTGACGAGTCTTCGGACAGTGAGTTCCCAGGCATTTATACAAATTTTGTTTCTAACATTTTACAGACATTAGTCATCCCTCTGCCCTATGGACCAATGGCTCCTATGTGTGTGTTTTATCGTTTCTTTTCCTGTGCTCTAATCATTTGATTCTCTAGTTTGTTGTTGGCAAATTGACAATTTTGTAAAGTCCACAGAGAGGACTGGGGTTGTGAATTAGGGCTATACAAAAATACATTGAATTGTTCTCTTGTTCAAATGCCCATGAACTGGGCTTAAGAGCGTAAACTTGCCTTGTCTCTGTCAGCTTGAGAAATGAGCATATAAACAAAAAACAGATTAAAGAGGAGTTAAGAAGGACATTATGCGTGTTCCAGATTTAAAAAAAACGCCTGTTGGATTACTTATCTTATCTTCATCTATTGTGACAAAATCCGTTTTTTTAATACAGATGCAATATTTATCATACATAGCCACTCACTGCTGATTAAGTCAAACCCTTTGGATCAATGACAGAGCTCAGATTGCTATCTCACTCATTGGGCTGAAAAATGGCATTCATTAAAAAGCTATTGATGATTTAGAAAACAACCTTTAGTGCCGCTCAGCCCGGCCTCAGACCTCTTTCGAGACAGATATATGATATATATTAGTTTGTTTTCAATTATTGTACACATGCAAAGTTACTCATTTGACCTAACTTCATGAACTTATCGGTGTTTGCTGTTTTCATAGCAGGTCTTGTATTGCGGCTGTTGTTTTTGTCGAAACTGTTCTTGTAAGTCTTGAAGCTAAATTTCACTTCTAATAAATGTACAATGGTCACCTTGTGCCTGGCCGGGGCAGAGCCTGTTTAAAAGTGCCCGACCACACTTCAAACCCACACTGTTGGCATGTAAAATACGGACACCATACATTATGTATTGGTGTCTTGTGGGCATCCGTTGTGTGCCTTGCATGCAGTTTTATATCTCCCAAAACAGGTTGAATAATAAAAAGTAATGAATTCTGTTATCCAACGCTTACGCCTCTAGTGTTTCTCGTAGATGTATTTATTGGATCAAAAAAATATTTCCATACACATAACGCTAATGTTTGGGTCTGTTATGTTTCTGGGCATAACAAAACATTTATGAAGATGACTATGAAGGAGGAAAAAAGTTAAAATGTTTTCATAAAAAGTATAATAAAAGCAGAAATGTGCGACAACATTCAAATCAGTTCATTTCATTTTGCGAGGAGGTTCGACTCTTTGCTTCACTTTTGCTTCCGTGTACCCACAAAGATCAGTATCATGCCAAATGCAAGGCAGGAGCTCAGATTGTTTGCATATATATATCCATTCATAAAGGTGGATATAGAATCTTATGGTAATGGACCCATGTGGAGGTGCCAAGTTGGTAGAACTGTCATTTCAAAGATTTTGTCTTTAGAAGTCTGTATTCATATGCATGCATGGAAAAACAGTTTCTCGCCGGTTTTTCTCTGGTTCTTTTTAAAGTCTGGATGAAACAGAATAATGTATTGATTCTTAGCATAGTTTCACAAAAGAGTTGGAACAAGGTAGCGGCTCTGAAATAGGGCAGAGCATAAGAAAGGAGCACCACCTGCTGAAGAGATTAGCATGAACACACAAAAACAGAACAATGCATGTGGTTCTTTCCCCACCTGTGACTTTATCGCTGATTCTGTAAACACAACCCAAAAGTGTGTTTCTGTTTGTTTAGTTTGATGACACATTTGACACCGGAATGGAGGTCTTGCATAAATGGTTAGAGGATCATAAAGTCAAATAAAGAGAGAGGGAAATAGAAGGAGAGAGAGCTGTTGGATATTGGCAGGAACTGGAACATGCTGCTGTGTACGGCCATCCAGAGCATCCCAAACAAGGTCATGAGGTCACATGTCTGGCAAATTTTACACAATGAAAAGGAGTGGACCACTATAAATTATGATCACAGCAGATACCGGCGGGTTCTCTGTCATTAGACACATTTACGAACAATATCCAAATTAGGTGTGCGCAGAGTTTGATAGCTGGAAGTTGAACGCATCAAAAGTGGAATGAAAAATAAAAGTACCGCATTTATATTTCTGCTCAGTGTAGCTGCATGTTATGTTCTAAAGTAGTAGTATTGTCGTAGTCTTTACATGCTATGGTTGAGTGCTTGCTTTTTACAGCCTGAGATCTTAAATAAGCATCCCATACACAGAAGAGTGCGGTTCTGTTAGCGGCCAGTGAACGGCAGTTTGCTTTCACCCTGTCTGGTCATTAGCACAGATCGGCTCTCCCCTGACCTTTTACTGTAATTATGTGCTGTCATCGAGGCCTGTCTGCAGACTTCATGCTAATACCCAACTGGTCCCATGTACGGTGCTGCTGATAGGCCGTCACAATTAACAAAAGCTAGCCTCCGTTCGCACAGCACTCAAGCCCCAAGTGAAGTGACTTGCTAACTCATACTTGAAAAGGACAATAATTTATTTGCTTGGTGCAGGGGTTTGCTTTCAGGATAGTAGAAAGTTCCAGCACAGACGTGACCCATTTTGCGGGGAAATGAGTCGCGTTTAGGACAATGTTTAAGGGCGTTATGAAGCTGGAGTGATGAATGAGGGGATTCAGGGTACGGTGCCCTGATGAGGAGCATGAGAGCAGAGCTAAGGAGAGTGTTTTAGTGGAAAATCATAGCTGTCTCATGCATTTCTCTGCTTTGTTTCCTTCGCTCGCTCCAGGCTGACGTTATTTCACAAGGAATAGGCAAATAGATAATAAATGATTTCACAAGCGAAACACCAAAAGGAACATTTTTGTTGAAGAAAAAAGAAACTTCACTCATGGCATGAAGACTCTTCTGATTATGATCGAGATGGGGAGTTTTCATAATGTATGTTTACTAACACAAAAAATCTAAATGTAATAACATTAAAGGTACATTATGCAACTTTTTATCAATAAAAATGAAGTTGATTTTTTTGCTTATTATTTGTAGTGACCCTTCAGC